CTGCATGCCTTTAGGAGGGAATCTCAAGAAACCAGATGCAGGCAGCTGTACCGATTTGAGATTGGCAGAGCAATTTTCTTCATCAAGGTTTTTGCGATCAAAATTACTGCCATCGTGCTTATCTGTCATGCTGAGGTCTCAAGATACAGCACCGTTCTGCACTGTACGTGCAGACAATGGAAGCCCTATTGTGCAAAACAATTTGGCTCTTTAGTCAGCCACTAGTAGATGCTGAATAGTTAAAAAAACTTTTTATTCCTACAAATCCAAGCATTTGCTTATTCTTACTGCTTTTACTTCTCAGTAAGTGCTTTTGTTGTTTGCTTGAACCCCATAGCATTTGCTAGTTTTATTCATACGACCCACTGTTATCCTCTCATTTTGCTAGGGATAATACTTTGTGTGCTTAAAACTCTTTTGTGTGGATGAAGTGGATTTAAATACGAATGACAATACAAAGGTCCGTGGGGAACGATTCGGTCTAGTTTTGGTCTTCTTTATACAACGTGCAGAGCACAAAACAAAGTATTGAAAGAGAATGATCGTTTAAAAGATTTCTGGAGATTAACTGTGCATCAATTTCTATTTTGCTTCATATACTTGACGAGGCGTATAATACTCACAGGTCTGATTTTTAATTACATTATAACGTCAAATGTATAATAGTCAACATCTGTATGGAATTTGTTCAGGCGCTACTTATGTCATGGGCCTTTACTATTTGTGTAAAAAAAACAATTTGCATAAATTATTTAATAAAGTGTCCATACAAACTACGTATAGCAACATTCTCATCGCAATAAAATTTTCTGGCAATAATTTGCAGTTCCAATGCAACCTGCAAGTAAAAAAGTATTTTAATGTTATTCTGTGTGCGTAAAATCACGTGCTTAGCAGTGCCATGAAATTGAGTCCTGTAGTGTTCAGACTTTAAAAAAAAAGACGATACGTTCAAATTTCAAAAGCCTTGTTCCTCTGATAGGCCACATACAACGCAAGCAAAATAGTGAGCATACATAATGATTTAAAGGGGATTGTTTCTTTCAATGTCTTCCTTTTTTGTTCAAAGCAGGGGGCATTGGGTAAAGATGTTGAAGTGTACAGCACCCATCTCTTAAACTGAATAACATATGTCGTTGTTTCCTCATTATTCACTAAGCATACAACAGCGCCAGTCGATGCCAAGTACTCAAAAAGGCCTTCTAAACTTGACCGACATTTAAAATTTCAGGCCACTAGAGTCACTCGAACGTTTGATTCTCAAACTGGCAAAATGAAATAGGCCACTTTAATAGCCAAGGGAAAGACAGAAACCTGCAAACGGGCCGTTATCTGTGAATTTCGCTTTGATAAGCCGTTCATATAAATTTACTGTACACTGAACGCTCTCCGCAATATAAAACCAGACACAGTGCGAGGCATACTCATACGAATCAGGATGCATTGCACTATGCATGGCCTTCCAAATCCAATTCTGATGCCACACTATGATGAAATGGCAGTGAAACAAAGCTGGTTCGAATACAGAAAACGGCCGGCCTGTCAACTCATTCTCTGACGATAATGATTTCGTTTTGTGACATGTTTCGTGGTTCAACATACGTCGACTAGCGGGCACAGATCTTGGAAGTGGGAATCCGACCCTCCAAGCAAAATGAATAATTTGAGTAATGATAAGGTTCACGTTGACATGCACGCATTTGTCTAACATCACTGAAGGCACTGATAGTCGAAAGGTGATTTGTATCTTTGATGGCATTTATCAAGAGCAAACTTGACTTTGTACCTGGGTTGCATTTTTACCAGACTTAACGCCAAGTCGAAACTGATTTGATTTTTCTCTCGACGCGTGTGTATACATGAAAATGTATCCCTTCCAAGAGCATTTGTTTAGAAAAACTGGCTAAAGTAGTCAGAATTGTCTCAAACCACACCACAGAGCATCTACATGCACACTCCCAAAATTTCCGGGGCCCTTCTGTGGGCCCAGACCCCACGCTACTCAGGACTTTGCGCTTCGTGCGCGCATTTGTTCTGATCAGGGCGATGCCCCCCCACACACTTTTCAAAACGGATCGACGCCCTTGCATATGCCTATACAATTAACATACTAACCGACCCCAGTGCTCTTTGTGGAATTTTATCGGTCAATTATCTCTCAGTACGACTCCCAGTCTATATTAAAGGAATATTTAATCGGCTTGACGTGGCACTGTCAGTGATAAGCGCATCAGTAAAAATTGCATATTGGCAGTGTTCTTTTGTATTTAAGATATTGAATTAGACCTTCAGAGTCAATACTGAAATTAAGTTTACGTAACAAGAGCATTTAGCAGTGCACTAAAGCCTAGAACCAACGGACAGACGAACTGCCAAAATGGAACGTTTCTAAAAAAAATGTTTTCTTTGCCGGGGTTAAAATTATTATTGTTACTTAAACACTGCTGGTGTTACTTCTAAACCCTCCAGTGCATTATAACACTTGTAGGTGTGTAAAGTAACACCAACGGTGTTAAAGGAACACAATTCTATGTGGTCATCTAATAACACAAAAAATGTTGTTTTTAACACCACAGTTTTTGCATTGAATATTAACCCTTTCCATTTTGTATTGCTTCTCATTCGCCATCTAGGGCCTAAATAGATGTTGGCGAGGGACCGTCGACGTTGTTTTGTTCGGAAACGCCGGGACGGCCTCTACCCAATCGACTTCAATCCTGTGCCGACCCTCGCAATTCCATCCCAATTTGTCACGATTTCCCTCCCCGGTTTAATTTCTGCTGCGTGCAAGGCTGGGTGCGTTTACAACTAGTGGTACATTCTTGATCAATTGGCCCTGATCGTGTGTGTACCAGCCTTATGCCGCCGAAGGTCGCCAATTTTCTGCGTTAATGTTGACGATACGAAACAAAGGAGGTGGTGTAAGGATTTTAACGTGGTGAATAGACACCAGTTTTCCATTAACAAACATCAAAATACAGATCAACAATTAAAGTTTCATTCCAAGCTGATGCCTCAGGCAATAAAACTAAAAGGAACAATTCTTTAACGCTGACGCACAAATGTTAAATATTTCGATTAAAATGACATTTAGAACCTCGACGATGACGAAACGACCTTTCGCGGAACAAGATTAAGGCCCGGAGCAACTTACCGCATCGGTAAAGCCTTGTCTCGAAACGGAGCGGTGCTGCCTACAAGCGGTCAATTAGTTCATCAACGTGACATTTCGCTGTTGCAAGTAATTCACCAACAAGCTCTACGATATCGCTAATATCTCGGTTGTATTTGATACAAGTAGAGTTTCAGCTAACATCGAAAATGCTGCATGGGAACTGAGCTAGGCAAGTCCCGCGAGACTGGATAAAGACTTCTATTTATGACCTACTTATGTCTTTGCGCTATTTTGTCCCATATTACACAAAACCATCTAAATTATTATCCATGACCAATTACTTCCATTTTTAACAGCGACGACGTAACAAAATATGCATCTGGGTGATTGAGTAAAACTCTTGAATTGTGGAATATGGTACATTTTAAGGAAAAATACCACGTGCATATCTTGAATGCAGTTGAACTAATAACGTGATGATAAAAAGAAACCAAGGAAGGATGGTAACATATTAGCTTCGTTACAAGGTTTCGACATGATAAAAAACAAGCTCTACTGCTGAAGGAATCTCTTCCTGGGGAAATATTTGGTTGTGCCCTTTGCTGACGCATTTCAATGAATACTTTATGCCAAATGCTTTCAGAGAATTTGTAAGGAAAAAACTTGTGCAAATGTGACTCGAACTCACGACCTTCTGCTTACTCGTGCACGCAGATGGCCCATCCAGGAACTCGTCTTCGAGTTCCATCCTATGTTTGTAATTTTTTTCCAGAAAGCACCAAGTATGAAGCGCTTGTTAAAACGTTTACATGGGAAATAAACAAACATTTACATTTATAATAATAATAATTCATTCATTTACATAGTGCAAATGTCATACATTTATGTTCAAATGCGCTGAACAATGAAGACATAAACTACCACTTGGTCGAGCCAAAGGCATACTTGAATGAATGTAATTTTTATTTTTAGATTTTTGCCCTTCCCGACGTGTATTATAACACTGCATACTCAGTGTTTGCCCCCGAGGGCATGTGAAAAAAACACAAGCGTACTTGGGTGGGACTCGAACCCACGACTTCCTGCTTACTGGTGCAGATATCTTAACCACTCGACCACCGAGCCTGCCGGCGTCGGCTGGTTCGAGCCAGGCAGGGCAAAAATCTAAAATTAACATCTCCCCGGTGCAATCCTTGGAAATAGTTGTTCGCAGTACCTGCTGCTACATCTGACTCGAACCAGCCAGACGACACCGGTAAGCTCGGTGATCGAGTGGTTAAGACGTCTGCACTAGTAAGCAGGAAGTCGTGGGTTCGAGCCCCACCCGAGTACGCTTGTGTTTTTTTCCCCACAAACCTTCGGGGGGGGGGGAACACTGAGTTTACAGTGTCATAGGCCTACACGCCGGCAAGGCAAAAATCTCAAATTAATTAACATCTTCCCGGTGCAAATCCATCCTTGGAAATAAATGTAATATTTGTTACACTCCATCCACTGCTTTGATTTCTGGATGACCTGAGTTTCAAAGGTGGAAGACAGTGCAACAGTTTGGGAATGGGCTCAATTTTGAGAACTTTCCTCTTGCATTTCACCAAGTAGAAGTTATGCAACCGTTTCATTCTCTTCCTCTCACAGGGACACCTTACCTGAACCAGCTCGACCGGGCTCAGAGGGACTCTCGGCTTCGCCTATCGTGTGACGGGCGCTGCCAGGCCCAACGACCAACCTACGCCCCCACCATCATGCGCTCCTTCACTGCTCCGGCCGCCATCGTGGCTCCCAGCGCGCTGGGACTGTGCACTGACCGGCCCGTGGCCGGGGGACTGTGCCCCGTCTGCCGGTCCGGCATCGTCAACGGAAACCGTACTTCCGGACTCTTGTGTTGCAAGATAAACCACAGCCCGGCCTGCCCTGCGTGCGGTGTGGTGTTCGACGACGCCGACGAGTAAGTCATTTTCATTCTGATGCAATGACGAACTTGGTCGTCGATCAGGCGGGTTAACACTGCAGCGTACATTTCCTATTCAAACTTTTCCCGCCTTTTTTATCTAGGGGTGTGAGTGGCCACTTAAAATTAACGCTGAAAAAATTAGCAAAAAGCTGAAATGTAAAAAAGTTCACATACTTTAATTTGTACAGACCAGGTGTACAAAATAGCTGGAATTCAGGGATAACATCTTCACACACACACAAAAATGAAACCAGCTAAAAAGCTGAATTCTGACACTCCTGTTTATCAGCAGGTCAGTTGTTGACGACAAAATGTGTCCGCGTCCGAATTACAAGGCTACGGCTACAAACGACACGCGTCTGTGAGATACGCCTAAAGCCGGAGCCACTCTGATTCAGACACGGGCTTTTACATTTTTTCGCGAAGTGTTGTGGGTAGTTTGTTTAATTTTCCGACATTGCATTGGCAGGCGGCTTAAGCTTTCCTCCACTGTGAATAAAATGCGTAAGCTCTGATAGGCCCTAGTATTAATTATACTCACTGATTAAAACCTCTCCTAATGGCATCCAGAGCTCACATAAAAGTACAATGGCTGGTCAAGGTCTGATGTGTAAATGTTTGATACGAAAATTGCTTCCAATGTACAGGAAATTTTAATCGACTCCCTGAAAAGCGGGAGCCGCTTTTTACATTCAGCGATGAAGGTCGATTCGACCGAAGGTGAAATATACTACTAGTCTATGGTGTTGAGAAAAAGCCTTACCAATTAGTAATTTTGCATCTGTGAATAAATGTCTTCGATGAAACACAAAAGATGGCTTTTCATAAAAGCAACGTTCCTGCTGTGTGTAGTCTTTCATCACGTTCTTATTTACCAACGACAGGCACACAGTTGACCTATCTTCTTGGCTGCTGAAGTGTGACACTTCATTGACGGTCATTTTTCTTATGCTAAACAAAGCTATAAAGAGTTTCGTATCATACTTGACGTTTATTTGGACACTTGCATCAATTACGATATGATCAGGCTGGTGAGGAAAAATATTAGCTAGATTAATGACCATCAACTTCGGTTTCTACATTAAAGGTTATTAGAATGTGGCTTAATGAGCACACATTGAAACGTTCTCAAGATTGAAATCTAAACTTGGGATTTTTCTGCCATTTCCTACAAATTGCTATATGGGATCCCATTGGGCATTTAGGTCTTTTCCAGTAAGGTATTGATAAAGATACAATGATATGAATGAGTCTAGAGGATATGACACGTCTAACAAAACATTTTACATGTGGATGAATTTGGGCAAATGTCAGAGTCCTGGAGGAAGGTCCCTTCTATAATTGTAATGCCAATGTGGTATAATTCTAATGCAAATAAACAGGTTTTTGAATGATATTCTGGTACATTGCATATTGTGACTGAGTCACCCAGATCATTTGCAGGATTTCCAAGACTTTCTTGATGAAGTGCACTGTAATCTCTGGTCACTAGGTTCAGCAGTGATTTTACTTCTTTTCAAGTTAAGTATTTTCCTAAAGCCTTGGCTTTCCGCATTCCAACATCCGCAGTGAGAGAGAACAACCTGGCTCTACGGCAAATGACGACACCAACCGGCAGCGGCACAACCAGCGTGTCAAAGGTCAACGGGCAAAGGCCCCAAAAGAAGACCACAAGAAGAACAAGCACCAGCATGACCTGTTACTCAAGCCCCAGACTGTGGAACTTACGAGCACCAAGAAGAAGTTCTCAGGAAAGAAGACTGACAAATGAAGAAGTAAACGTGGAATGTGGATAAATACAAAACAAGTGCAAGAGACTTGACAAATACATCGAGGGGAGAGTCTCACTCTCATGTGCAAAGTGATGGCCGACGTGTCAAGTCATCATCAGCGAGACAGAGCAGGATGTTTGTGTTGAGCGAAAATGATGGATTGCAGCCCACATCAGGGATATGAGAGCCGCTTCATCATTAAGATACATGAGACTAGACACATCGGAGCTTTATGTGTCACCCACATCTTGCAAGACATGCATCATGTCTCCGTCACCATGCCTGGAATGTGTCACTGCTGCTGGGGGAAATTTGCTCTAGAGGCAGTCGTTGCCAAGGTAACAAATATTCTGGGCAGTTGTAACGATATTGGTGAAGCAATTGGAGGGGCTCATTGGCAGGGCGTCTTATGTTCTCGGAACGCCAGATTCTGTGGATGCAATTGCACAGTGCGCAACAAATGCCATACCACCTCTTCCTGTATGTGTCAGCAACGGATCTCGCCAAATTAATCTCAAACATTTTTCACTCACCTAGAGCCCATTAAGGCCTATTCGTTCAGCAGATTGCTTTTAAAACTTCACGTTTTCCGGAAAACTTGTGTAGTGTGAGATGAAGTCATTTTTTTTTTATATCAGGTTGAGTTTAAGAAATTCCTGAATGCATTATTGCGCTGATGGTTTTGTTTTGATGTGAGAAATTGTTTAAAAGAAATGTGTTGTGAGTAACTTTGGGAGTCAACAAAAACAAAAGAGAACCCCTCCCTCCCCCCAAAAAACAAACAATTTAGTGAATTCAAGCTATTTTAGAAACAGAGTTTAATCAACTTCTGCGGACTCCAATAATCACAGGAGCAGATCTGCATGTACACAACAATGACAACAGATTCAATCTTGGCTCAGACACTTTCGAAGTTACTTCCTCAAAGCTGTGTGCAAAGTAGATTCGAAAAGTGGACAAAGTCCCCATGTCTCCAAATGCCAACTTGGTCGAGTATGATTGGGTTTTGGCTTAACAGACTGTTATTTGGTACTAAATGTTCCCCAATGAGCCGGCGAGGAATGACTTTACTAAAGTCCCCCCCATTGATATACAGTTAATAGAGCTTTTACATCATGAATTAATGTGATGAATGTGACAAGTCATACTGGATGAAAATTGAGGAAATGGCAAAAAGGAATCTCTTTTCCTTTGAGGAACGTTATACCTACTGTCAGGTCTCTACATAACAACCACCCTCCCGGGCTGCCTGCAGGTATGAGAGCAGCCATATTACTCCTGTGTATGTACATGTACATGTATCTTGTTCAGCTGTGTGGATAAGTGGAACTTGAAGCCAACTAGCTGTATGTGTTCCTAGCTCTACACTACAGTCAAGGCCAACTTAACCGGTTCCAGAAGCACCATGTGCAATTCTTTAGCAGGTGCTAAATTGTAGTCCATGGCATGAAAATAATACTTTCCAGATATGGCCATCAAACATCAACCACATGACTTTCTCTATTCAAGTTTTTATGCCATAATTATGGGAAGCCAAAACCAAAATAAACTCCCCGACTAAGAGGAATACTAAACCGCCAATTTAAGGATGAGATTGAAGTGTCTGTAATGTTTGTCTATAGCCTAGTTTTGATGTGGGGCGGATTTATTTATTCGACTTAAAAACTTTGTATCCATGTACTAAGCATTTTCAGCTTACTAAACCTTTTTTTATGGGCATATCATGTAGTCTGTGGAGTTGGTGAGCTTAGCATCACACTAAGCAGAAAATACAAACAGCAAATATACACACGCTGGTTTCCAGGAAAAATGTCATGTTATGCATGGGCCTATTGCCATTAACTGGTCCCTCTGGAGATTTCTCTCTTAGCTCATAAATTTACTGAGCAACGTTGTGTGCGTCAGCAATCCTATTAGATTAAAGAAACTTCACAATCACAGAGGAGCAATTGTCTAATCAAGTTTGGCAGTTCTTGGCTGAGCAATTCCATGAAATTGGTTGCTGGCAATAGATTTAAAAGGGCAATTAGCCAAGCAGACAATGAGGACCATTATCTGGGTGCCCCACAGCCACTAATTGCCAAGGCAGAGGCAGAGCCAAGTCCAGCTACCTCCTCACACTTAAGATCAAAGGTCGTGAAACCATGTACAACCGTCAAGAGCAGAGAGGGGCAGTCTGGATTGAGTAAATTCATTTCAAACTGAGATGCTTAAAAAGTGTTCCAGTGCCTGCAGCCTTTCAGAATTCTCCAAGACTTATTAACCCTCACTTGGCTACAACTTCCATAACACTTCAAAGAATGCATTTGATAAATGAGATGTTAAACAACAGGGGCTGTGGTAGGCTAAGTAAGATGTATAATTCACACAGAAGATGGATGGTCAAATCTTGCAAGCAAAACAGAGTAGCGAAACAGAGTCAATCACTTTTTACATATTCCCATAAAAAGAAGCACAGAGCATGAACTCAGTGCGTTTGACAGCAGTTCAGAGAACTTTGCCCAATGTATAATTGACCTAAATCAACAAACTTAGGCCATACTGAATTGAAAGCAAGGTTTAACTTTTTATAATTATGGAACCCCACGATAAATTTTTAAAGGAGTGAAAAGAGTCAGTACAGATTAATTTCATTTATACTGATGAATAATTTAATATGTGATTTATTACATGAAAATGTTTTAAGCAACATTAAAAAAAAATGAGAGTGAGGCATGAAGCCCAGAAGTCTGGTGCCACCCATTTGACAGATTACATTGCATTAGATAGATTCAGGGAACTTAATCAAACATGGCTCCATTGTGAAAGGTCTATTGGGTCTTGCTTTGCTGGTTCTGTGTAGCCTGGTATCATTATTATGTACAGAGGGAACTGTTGCCGTGACAATAATTGTGCAATATGGCGGTGACCAGCTGGGACTGCAACTGATAAAAAACATGAGCAGCAATGCTGTGCTATTTGTTCGGCAGGCTTGATAAATACATGTACATGTATTAAAATAACTGTTTGCGCTTGAGGCTAACATTTTGCCCCACAATTGTGGATTCTCTCAAGAAGTTTTTCTAAAGTAACAATTGTACCTGTATTTTGAAATGTGGTGATGTACTCAATTAAGATCTCATCTTTGATTTGAAAATTCTTATATCTCACTTATTCAAACTACCTACCTGCCTTGACTGTGTGCATTGTGAGTGCAGTTCTAGAAATATATTAACGGCCGACAGCATATAAGAAAAGCACAAAAAATACAGAGAAATTACAGCTCTCAGACATCTGACAGACGGATAGACGGACGGATAGACGAGACTGACTGGCAAAAAATAAAGATTACCTGGCATAAAGAAGGTGGCCTGACTTTATTACTAAGATCAGGCTGTACACAAAAGGAGCAGGCCTTGTCATGAGAAAATGACAGTTAAGAGATCTTTTACGAAGGTCTGACAGTTTGGGGTCCGTGCTTTCAATGATGTATTCCACAACATGATCTCTATAGCACTGAGTAAGGGTCACGCTTACGTCATATACGTTTTATGAGAAATGGGGCTTAGTAATAACGTAGCCGTCTTTCGCGACGAACGTAAGGGTGGCTTCTCTCATTGGCATAGTCACCTTTAAAATTACTCTCCTAAAAAGGAGTTTGAACGTTGCAGACCTGATGTTATATCTCAGCTGAATCTCTCTTTGCCCTTGAAGATGATTTTGCTAAGATGGAAAAAGTGGATCCCCTTATTTTGAGGTCAGAAATGTTGCATTTTCTGTTTTTTAAAATGTTGCATAAAGGTGAAAGGATTTTTTTTAAAAAGAAAAATATAAACAAAATAAAAAACACAGTTCTGCAGTTGACAACTTATGAGTGATGAGTGTCACGTTTTTCTGAATCCTGCAAATGGTCCACTTCTTAAATTGCAAGACGAAATTAGGGGACTTAAGTCTTTTTCATGGCTTGTAAAAAACATTTTCATCTCTGCACAGGCACACAAAGCTCGTTAAGAAGACTTCATATGTCAAGTGTTTTGCAGAACCTTGTTTGAATGGCAATTAACCTTATAGGAAGTCATCTGATAATGCCACTGGGACTTGTCTCACAAGGTATTGGAGGGGGGGAGATGGGTGTTATCGCGATCAAAATACAAATGCTAGCTAGCTGCTGTATCAGATTCAATTTTGAATTGGGGAAAACTGAACTACATAGATGTAGGTCAGGGAAACTGAACACTGTTAAAACAATACAGCATGAGACGTGAGATACATGTATATATTTTTTCCTCCTTGCTTCTTGCAATTTTTTTATTGGCAAGTTTTTGGTCATGATGTTTTGACAACAAAATTCCCCAAATTACATGTATATCCTACTGTGCACTGTTAAAGATGAACTGACAATTTCCATATTTGACAAATACAATAACCATCATTGGGTACAACAACTGTAAAATGCATCTTTCAAATAATAAACATACAAAGGCATGGCCATTTTCATCAGTGAACTGTACACATGCAACCTGGCATTACAATCATTGAGCATTTCATTTAACAATAGAAATTCATATTAACTGATATACTCTGACCTGCAGTAAGCTGCATATGTATGGCTCCATTACAGAATTTAGTGGACAGGAGTTGAGTACACATTAATTAATCCATCTGTAATTAATCTTACCTTTCAAGTCTGCTCTCGCCACAAAGCCACTGTATTACCTCCTCTGGCTTTGTAGAGAAATACATTATTTGTATCAGCCACTGATTTTTGCCAAATGGCAAAATCCCTGGCTGACATTTTAGGGCTCACTTTAGGATTAATGATCATCGTAAGTGACTACTGCAAATGGTCTGTGAAAGCCACTACACATGCACTTTACCCCATCATTCTGCTGTGTCCACTGGCCTGGATTTTAAATGGTTTGAGGATTCAGAGTTAAAATCCTTGTAAGCTTGGCGACATCCACTCTGTGCAAACAAAGACCCTGTCTTTGACTTCACTCAAATACAGAAGGCTGAAAATAAATGTCACTGTCATAAAATGACTGTGACAGCATGGCTAAAGCCACCAATGGAGTCATCACTTAAGCCAACGTTTCAGAAATTGTCAATATCAAGGTTTCTGGCTTACTCACTGTAACCTTTTGAAGCCCTCCTCAAAAAAAAGTAGATGTACTGAGCCAGCCATTCAGAATAACAGTCAACAGGCAGTTAAGCCGTTTTTAATTAATTGGATGCGGCGTAACTAACATGCGAGTCTATGAGAAGTGGTTGTTGCGACTTCTTGGCGGCTTCCATAAGAATACTTGTTATTCCCAGCCAAAGCCGTCGTAATTCAGACAGGGCCTCATGCTGTACCATCAATCTGCACAGTGTGTCAGGCATTCATAGTTAATGATGTGCACACTGCAGCTTGGCCCAAGTTGGTCTATATGTGAAGTGGGGGCGGGAGAACACAGACAAGCTTGTGCTCTTCAGATCTCATCATGCATCTCAAGACTCACATCTTGTGAAAATTGAAGTTAAGGCGGTAATATACATGGGGGTTGTAGTGCTTCAGAAAAATCTCTGATATGCTATGCCATACAGAGCACTAACCACTAGCGGTGGAAGGGGGGCAGTGGCCCCCCCATTTTTTCAACGGGGGGAGGGAATTCCCCCCTCCAGTTTTTGCAGGGCCCATATTAAAATGAGGTGGGGCTTAATGGATCGACCTATTTATGGCTGATGCCTGATGGTCTAAAAACTGCCCCCCCCCCTTTGAAAATTGTTCAGCCGCTGGCTCTAACCAGGGAAAACACATGTAGATTGGAAATGTTTTATGAACAGGAGATTGTCTGTTTTATTTTTGTATGCATAATTTATTACAAAAGTAAATGATGCTATTGAAACGTAAAGAGTGTAAGATTTGTTATTCGTAATTTGGCAATGAGTGTGGTACTTAAGAACTTCCTTGCAAAGTATTTTCAATTTGTAGGGGAAGATGTAGAAAAATATTTATCTACAACTTGTTGAAAATCCTAGTAAAGCCGTAATACAGGACTATGCATCTCTTCATCGACTTCAAATGTTTTGTTTTCTCAAACTCTGTTTAAGCTCGTTTGTGGTGAGACACTGAAAGGTCTCAACAAGTAATCTTTGCATTAAATAATTAAATATAATTTATAGAGAAGGCAGGCCTTCTGTTTCACATTGGAAGTTTTATTTTAAATTTTGAGCAAAAATGTAGGAGAAAAACCCTGTACAAATGTAAATATATTCAAATACTGTGAAGATGACAGACCAAAGCATTTGGTCCATTAATTGGATATAGGCCTAAATAAGCAAATTCAAGTGCTTGATATTAACCAAATTAAATTAACATAGCTTGGTTTTTGAGACTGTCCATTCCCAAAATGTGTTATCATCATACCTTTAAAGCTTTGCACAATAAGTCATCAAATGTTATATTGATTTTGATGTATGGAATGGTTGAAAAACTAGTCAGTCGTGAATAAAAATAAGAATATCAGAGATTTCTATTCTCACAGCAAGCCCGGACAGAAGCCAGTGATCCATGAAGCAATTCTCCCCATGTCAGAATTAAATTTGGATGGGGGGGGGAATTCTTTCAAAAGGTACATGTACGTGCAAGTCCCAGCAAAGGGCCTGAATGGGTTAACTTTACAAGAAATGACAGCTAAGCGAGGGGGGAGGGGTAGATAAGCAATTTGGGACAAACAAGGGCCCATGTTTAATGATTTGACTTCGGTCCCAGTTGGCTTGTGTAACTCCAGGGCATGATTTTCTAACGATAACAACTTCATGTACACACATGCTTGTAAATAGTCAACTGCCCTGAAAAGTTACATGAAGGAAAAAGATAAATACGGTCACATGTTGATAGTTTTGGTATTTTTAATTTGGAGGTGTTCTTGACTGTTGTGGTGTTCATGTGCAATTTTTACTAAACCTTTTTGTTACAATTAATTTATGAAATATTGTGGTTTGGTGTGCAGTAATATATGTAATGTATTCAATTATAGTCAAAATGTGGCGGTACATTATTTTGAATTCTGGAACAAAATTAACTTCTGTGACTGTTAAAAGTGCTGTAAAGTATGATATTGGTGTTAGCTATAACTTTGAAGGATTGAAATTTTTGTGGAAAATCAGTGTCACAGATTTCTGAATTCTTTTTTGTTGATTTGCATAAAATGGCTGATCCTAAGGGCAATTGAATGATACTCAGTGTTTTGGAAATGGTTTTTCGACAATGTCTCCTTCCATGACTAGGCTTAAAAGCATTTTTTGGCTTTTAACTTGAGAACACAGTGATTGTGAAAGTGAAGGCTTCCTTTCAGAAGGCAAAATATGGCCCAAAATGTATCAGACTAGAAATGCCTTACACTAAATGCAAAACCTTTTCCCATTATATGTTGGACAAACACAAAGACTGGTCTACTTTGAGAGCCCAAAAATCTGTTCGTTCAATCTCAAGACAACGTATTTCTCATGGTCGATTAAACCTCACATGAAATGCATTGCAACTGTATCTATCACACTGTAAAATGCATTGTCATATTTAAACATCTAATAATCAGAAATCATTGAAACCTTGAAGCAATGGTGCTCCTTTTTTTAATAAGAAATTTTGGTCAGCGGCAAATTATCAGGAATTCATCCTTTTTTGGCCTTTGTTTTTCTTCTTTTTCATTGATTTGCTCGTTAAATTTGTCCGTTTGAATGTTGGAAGTTTCAATAAAGAGCAGTCGACTGGGTAGATATCAAAAATGCCTGTGTCAGACTGTCAGTCTCTTTTCATAGCAGTGAACTAGATGAAACCCAAATGGCTACTCGTAAGGTCAGATCATTAAACCAAAAGCAAAGGAAAGAACAAGCTAATGTAAAATAAAACAAACAGGTTACAATTTCAAGTGTTGGGAAGGGCCTTCATCATGGCTGTAATATATGTATAGTTTAACGATGCCCTGTGACACTCCAACCCTACCCTGTAATTTCCACCAATCGTCATTTTGAAATTTCTCGTAAACCACTTCAATCCCCAGAAAAAAAAAATGAAAAATCCTTATGAGGTTTTCATATGTTGAAATTCATTTGTGAGGTACCAGCTAGCTAACCTATAGTACATCAATTACCTGAATACAAAACAACTTCGTTAACACTTCAACCTCAATCAATATGGCCGGGTGTTTTTTCCTGGAAGAGAAAATTAAGCATTGCCTGGATTTAATTATGACTTTGACGTCATAGAGAGATTCTCTTTGTATGGACTGTCGTGTTCTGTACTCTCATTTGCAAGGTGAACTGCAATTAAGTTTGTGAATTTGTTTTGGGGCTGTTGAGATGAACGTTTCTTGCCTGGTTAATCTCGCCCATTCCCAATGACGCGGTTTAGACCCGGTGATGTTTGGCAACAGATGAATTGCCTATGGACTCTCACCAAGTTTACAACAAATGAATGCGATGTTTTTGTGTGGTTGATGGAAAATAAACAGAACCCTCCACGCAAGATTAATAATTCCCCCTCCTTCGTCAGAATAAGTCAGTTTGGTAAGTACTCAAAAAAGCAAGGACATTCGGGACAGTGTTGTCGTGGAGATCATTACGAGACCAGGCACAAGACCAGAAAGAAGACCAGACACAAGACCAGTCACAAGTAACAGGGTGAACAATGACAAAGGAATGCTTTCGTTGCAGTTCATTTGAATAGCTTGTGGCTTGAATCAAGACTGGAGGTCTCATGCTGCTCTTGTGAAGGTCTTAAGTAGTCTCGACTACAACACTGATTCGGGAACAAAGCACGAGCATGAGTCCAGTAAGGGCTGCTCTGATTGGGCAGACCTAGCATGTGCGTGCGAATGACCTTTTTAGGCATGCCGCGCTGTCAGAATACAGAACTGGCTCACTGTCTCTGTATTATCATACCCCTAGGGTTTTCACTGGTGGAAAGTTGCATGCACCGACAGTCAAAGTCATTTTGAAATCATTTGCATTTCATGTCAACATTCACTGTTAAGTCCACTTTAACAACAATCTGATTCTCACTGACAAAAAAAACTACTGAGAAATTCAGGATTTACCTAATTGATTCACCGAAAAAGACTGTTGCTTGCTTCCTCGACTTAGAAGTTGACCAAACATTAACCACGGACCTTTTGCCCTGAGAGAGCCTGTTTGGTGGTACATGCGGTGAGAGCAATAACTCCAAGCCTTATCAAGCGGATATGGACAGCCCTCCACGATGGCTACCGGATAAATGTGTGTCTAAAATCACATATAAGCACAGAGGCCATTTTTGTCTGCACGGAATAAATACTGCGGAAATCACACCAGTACCCCGCGACTAAAAGTCTATGCACTGATTACTTCAACCCTCATTACCTCTGCCAGGTCAATGGATGCCCAACGAGGTTACAGCAGGGTAAAGCAGCTGAAACACAAGGCACTGCACCAGACGTGACAGAACAGTGGGTGGTGATGCTGCATAGCCCCTTGTAAAGAGAGCTCCGACCCACTGCAAGCCAATGCATGAGTCAGGCAGTCAGGAAGAGATTCTTGGAGCCGCCAACCGGAGGTGTAGATGAGACCATGATGACTTGGACCGAGTCTGAGTCGCTGGCACTGAACCCATCCAAGATTGAAGCTCAGGCTGAGACAGACCTTTGGTCTCTAATTTTTCTCGATTCTATTCAGTGCTTAAAAGTTCTGATTTCAGAATTAAAGGAGACCGCAGGAAAAGTTGAATAGTATCTTGAGATTAAAGTTGATATAAATGGGCGTGGTCAAGCGATAAATTGGTGTGCATATTGTTTTAAATGTGTTAGTCACTGCATAACGAAAGAAATACATGTCGAGAACCAGTCACAATAGTCAAGGACTACATGTGGTCAAGATATGACTCCTGGTCCGGTTGGCCAACAGATGAAACAGTTACAGAGAGTCAAAACCCTTGGATTTCTTAAACAGACAACGAAAACGTGGAGTCAGTGTGTGGAATTGATTCTGTTAGATTCAAATGCCGAGTTGACCATGCCTAGCCAGAGATGGCACACACTTCATCATCATCCGGTCTCAATTTGACCCCCAAAATACCTGGAAGAATTTTCTGTAATATTTCAGTCTTTGCTTAAGTGGGAACCCCAGTTAGTCCATTTATTCACAGCTAGGCCAGCAGATCCATGCCCATATCAATATCCAGCCTTTGCGAGTTTGGCCTGGTTGCTTAAACCACATTCATTCCTTCACAAAACCCGCTATCATCCCCATGTGTGATCAACTAAGCCGTGTACAGATAGGTGTATGTTCACGCCAATCCAGGTATTACTGTCCAACTGTCCCCCAAACTTATTTTCCCACTGACACCTACTGTACATCCCGCATTTCAACAGCTTTACATTCATGTGTTCTGCATTTCAAGCCCAGCGGACCGCTGCGGATCTTGCTCGCTGACCAATGTGGCGTGAAGCAATTACGGAGCTGTAAACAAACGCGAGAATCGGTCGGCAGTCGTGCATGCAAATGTGCCAAACTATCTCCAGGTTGACAAGTGGGGGCTTGTCTCAAATTGCGCCAAATTCGCACCTCTGTCAAGTGTGAAATGGAAAGCCATGGGCAGACATTAACTTGATAGGCTGCATGCTTCAAAGGAGTTCACTCAATAGATGAAATCAAGCGTCTGTTTTCTCCTTGGAAATTTCCAAACCAGGGCTCCTAAATAAATAGTGTTGTGTGCCCATGGCAAGTTAAGGATAGCACTCCAGTATCTATGTTTTCAATATTTTAATTTGACAAAAATAGGCCAAACTTTATCAGTGCCCAGCGGTTGCAAATTCACAGCCAGAGAGAGGCAATACAATACAGGCAACAGTAATAAAAGTCAATCTTAATAAGCGTACGTGTATGTATATGCTACATCTTAATACATCACACACAACACATGTACTCAAACAATATAATCAGAACACATCTTACAATATGTCAATCCAGCATACACTGTACATTATATGATGTATTAAGATACAGACGTTTGTTGCCAGCAATGCAGAGGTTTGGTAAATTCAACAGTTCAACCAATGTTTCTGTGTGAAGCAAAACTGTAGGCCAACTGACATAACTACAAGGTGCCAAATCTGGGATACATTTGGGAAAATCTATCAATAGCCTTGAAATTTGTTTGCTTATACAGGCACATCTCACCACTGAAATTACCATGAAATAGTAAAAGTCGGTCCTTAATCACTGCCAAAGATGATGGCTTCGATTCTTCATGAAATATTTTGTGGGTTAAACATGCGAAAAAAAAATTCCACAAAAACTGACCGCTTCAAACCAACCTCAATGTTTACAGCCTGTGTCTTTACACCTGACGGCTTGCATCCCAAACAACAATAACAAGGCTAAGAAATCAGATTAAACTTACATCAGCTCGGCCAGAAACGGCCAAAACAGGAGGGGGGGAGGGGAGCGACTTCTTGGAGAATGCTGATGCTCTTTACCCACCTCCCCCAAGGATAACAGCAGTCTGCAGTCTGAAGGCAAAGGTTGTCATGGCAACAGACCAGCCAAGGTATGAGGAGGAAAAATGGTCTACTGACGAGGGAGATCAGGCAGTCGGCCTGACAAAAAAACGGGGGGGGGGAAGAATAGCAACGGACTTGCCTTCATATGCCAGGATCTGTTTGCAGTTGTTGATATGCGCTCCTCATTCCATGCCTTACCATCTGGGACAGTCTCTGAAGAGAAATGAAGAGGGGAAAAAAAGGGAGTTGTCATATATGTTGGGTGGAATTCATTGACATTTAGAAAATACAAAAAAAAAAACCTGACTTGCTCAACTGGAGAAAACGGGGAGAAAGGAAAGTGCGCGCACGTAGCTTGGAAAATTGGCTTGAGCCCGAGAATAATCTGACTGACAGTTCTCCTTCTATATGCATTCCAATTTGTGGAATTTGCCAATGTTCAAACAGCAATTGGGGGGCGATTGCAAGACGGACAGGAAATGACCTAAAACAAGGAGAGGTAAATAGGAAAAGTAAAGATGGCATGGTTGGAGAAAGGGGAAAATTGAGAGATGGGACAAGTTAAAGGAATAAATTAATATGTGAGCGATGCAGAGGCAATAAGGCTGCCCTAGAGAGAAAAAAACAATCTAACTCATCAGTCTTGCCACGTAACTAACAGCTCACTTGATAAGCAAATGCATCAGAAAATATCCACAGGTATATTGTAAGGGAACTGAGTCAAGATGTAACCTTGGCAAAAAAAAAGAGGTGATTCAGAGAAATGGACCTAATCTGCACTCATGCTCATGTACATAAAAACAGCCCCTCTCCCCCAAAAAAGATTTTAAAAAGACATGCCATCTTAGCATCATGTACAGTGCTCTGCTTCCAACTTTCTTTTTCAACTGAACCTATTTCAGGATGATATAAAGATAACAAAGACATGTTACCAGTTTGTAAATGTAGCTACCAGCATCCGGAGGCAAATATGAAATCAAAATGATCCCAAATACATGTGGCAATACCATTGGTGGCACCTGGTGCAGAGTTTGACGCAGGTGCAAAGTGTGAGAGAAAAAAACATGATGTTGCACCCAAGGCATTTTTTTTACAAAGTCTTTCTCATTTATTTTCTGGACGGGATGGTGCCTCTCTGACGATGGCCCCTGGTTATTTTGTACTGGACCATGCCCTCCCCCCAAAAATTGTTGTTTTTGTTATATAAAAGGGAGAAAGGCTTTGTAGTGGAAAAATTTCTCTTACATTCCCCCCATAAGCTTGTAACAGAATCCCCAATATTTGCCTCGCTCATTAGAAAGAGCTCAGTTGGAAGGTGTACTGGAACTACAGAAATTTCAAAATTTTCAGTTCTTGCAAAAAATTTTTGCTCTTGAAGAATCAATTTCTGGGTCAACCTTTGGGTACATAGAACTTGAAGCAGTCGCTTGACAAATAATCTTCCTCATCAGTCTCTCCAAACCCCCCCTTCCAGCTACCCTGGATCTGTTCCTGCACCAACTCCCAGAGTATTTCACGGTTGCGGTTCCAGTAACCATTCTACATTTGACGTTTCCAACCTCTCCCTCCCCCAATGGACCTCCCCCCCAAGTTCTTTTTTTTCCCTTCCTTACCATCCGCTACATCAATCAATGGAGGCCGTCCTTCACGAGTGGACGGGAGGACAGGAAATTGGTCTGGTTACCGTCCCGGCCATTCGTGAACGGCCCTCGCTCACGTTGCGCAAATAGAGGCGCAAGACAAACCATAAATTAGCTCCCTTTTTTTTTTCCCCTGGAGATTTTCAGACGGTTGCTTCAGACCAATCTATATGAACAATTTTGCGGCTGCAGTCAATAATGAAAGGAGACCTTGAGAGGCCAGTGAGAGGCAACGATTCTGACACTCCAAACGCTCTGCAGCTGACATCTTACTTAGTCCAGAGGATTACACATAAATTTGTTTCTAATGCCTTTAATTAGCACCTGTTACTGGATTCTGAAAAATCAGATGGTCACTGTTTGACCAACTAGACCAGAATTAACTTTCGAATAAGGCACTATGATATTTATTTACATACAATGTATTTATATTTTAATCTTTCTTTTTGCCTCAAAAATTCTATGCTATAAAACAAAATACAATTCCTGAATTATGCCAATACAAAACAATAAGAATTTTTTCAAATTAAGAAACACCTCTTCATGCCAGATCAGGTATTCAACACATTCAATCACAGTGTTTTCACTTGTTTGCTGAATGTAAGTGATAAATGACACTAGAAAAAAGTCAAGATAACATTCAAAATCTATGAATAAATTGAAGATCAGCACGCACTTGAATATGATTTGAAAATGAACATATAAAACATAGGATGCAATAAATAAAACAATCTGAAACAGGAAAACAATAAATGTACTGTGATATGTTAATAAGCTAGACTTTATAGCCTTCTGTTTTTCCTCTCAGAGAAAAATGTCTCGGTCCTGAAGGACAGAACTCAAGTAGGAAACCTGGTGTCACCCTCACCCAAAAAAATTCCACCTGGCCCATACTCGTCAGTGCAAATAGCTGCCAAACCATCCCGACTAAAACACTGTTTAGAGCCCAGAGGATTCTCTTTGACACACAAGGACCCAGTTTTGTCCGAAAGCCGGCCATTATATCCTCTAGGAAAGGTTACATATATCCCCAATCACAATCGTGCGACGACAAAGACGCCAGACAATGGTATCTGGGGGAGAGTGATTACGACCATGAGGCCCGATGACAGACATGAGGGTCTACTGGCCATTAAAGATATTATACCTGCTTGCATTTGCATATCAAAGGTAATGTACATGTAACCTACCTCTGCTGAGAAATTTTGTTACAGTCAATTTCTCCCACACAAAATATGGGGCCAACGTGTAGTTTGATATTCGTGGGAATTTGGGAATTTTTTCAACGTTCAATGCATGAAAATTTGCATACCAAATATTGTGGGCACTGCAGCCAGATGCTTAAAAAGGTTGCTCACTGGTAATTTTGGTGAGTGCAACTACATGTAGAAGTCACTGCAGCGGTGGCACAATGCTCATGGACACATGTCACATGTGGTGCACATGCAGCATGCCTCTTCCACCCCAGCAATGGAGTCTCCTCAGATTTGTCTATGATGGGTTTGTTACCTGTGTTAGATCTACGGGAGGATGACAGTCCAGTCCGTGGCAAGTGTGATTGTATAAATGCTCTAAGATTATAGAGCTCTACCAAATGAGCTATCCAGGCCTATAAACTTGGCTACTTGCGCAGTGTAGATTTAACACCATTGGTGTTACCACTGCAAAATGCTCCTTGAGATAACATAAATTAGATGTGATATTGGAGGCATTCCTTGAAGAATCATCAGTATCGTCAGCTGATTGAAGAACTTTGTTTTCCAAAAGTTTTTTGAAATCTGTGAAACTTTTGAGTATAAGAGGTAGAAAGTAAAGATGGGTCCCTGGCATCCTCCACTGGGCAATGGGT